GCTACATGTCTTTGGTGAAAATAACCCAAATTAGGATGTATTTTTTAGTTTGTAGGAAAGTTATAGAGTTCACAAACTATGGTATAGATCTGAATATTGATCAATCCTGAAGTACTGACAGCCAATCTAATTTCTTGAGGTGCAAGAATGTCAGAACAGTCCAGATATCCCCAAATGACCCCTTTTAGCAGAGTAGACAGTCCGACGTACTTCATAAAAGGCATGGTGAGTTTTTTGAAGTTGTATTTTTTTTGTCATAATTTTTCGGAAAATTAAAAAATTAAAAAAATTATTTTCACTATTTTTTTTTTTTACATACTGTCACCAGTGCAGTACAGCGTCATCATATAACTGGCATGGCGGTGAACAGGGACACTGACTGGTGACAGTATGAAAAAAAAAATATATATATATATATTTTTTTATTATTTTTTTATTACATTTTTCTTATTTTCTTTAAGATTTTTTTTCATATTTCACTATGTCCAAGTTACCATAGTAACATTGTACTACTTTGGGGAAGTGATCAGTATTTTTTTTTTTTTTTTTACACAATTTGCTTATAGCAAAGAATTACTTTGCTATAAGCAAGCATTTACAACCATTCAGGTTTTTTTTTTTTTGTGCTTAGCTGTGAATTGGCCACAGCTAATCACATGACATGTGCATGTGACCTGCTGTGACCATTCATAGCTAGGCACTAGTATACAATGAATGGCATGAATGAAGCCATCCATTGTATACAACTGTCATGTGACCTGCTGTGATTGTTCACAGCAGGTCACATGGTACCGGCAACGGGGGCCGGTACTCAGATCTGTCATCGGCCGTGTCCGAGGTACACGGCCGGTGACAGATCGCGCCGCTGCTCGGCTCTGCAACCGTGCAAACTGCGCATGTGCGGGCGGATGCCAAACGGCGTACACCCCGGAAAGCTAAACCATTTTTGCGGCTGCCAAATGGCTATAGGCCGGGCGGCTAATGGTTAATATGTATTCTAAAAATGTTTAATTTAAATATATCTTCTAATGGCATATATTAGAAATATATATTTTTTAAATATATTTTTCAGATTTTTTTTAACATATAAAAAAGTCATTTTCACATACCTTTTTACAAATATTTGTAAATGCATTCCACAAATGTAGATTTAATGTATTTTCAAAGACATATATTTGAAAATGTATTTTTAAAAATATTTTTCATATATTTTTTAATAGTGGTGCACCGAAATGAAAATTCTGGTGCCGAAACCGAAAATTCAAAATGTGCTTGTCCGAAAACCGAAACGTGCAGTTTTTAAAAATGAATATATATTTTTTGGAAAACTCTTTAAGAGCTGTAATTCCTGAACCCTTCCTCCAATTTGGATGTACATACACTCAAATTAAACCTGAGTGTGCACTTTCAGCCCATATCCATTATATAACTATAGCTTGAATATGTTTTGGTAAATATCTCAAAAAAAACAATTGTGCCTGTGTCCAAATATACATGGCCCTAACTGTATGTGTGTTCTTCAATGTTTGTACCCATAGTAGGGCCCAGAAACAATAGTGCACTTTTGTTTACATTTTTCTCCTCTAGCAAGGAAAAAAATATTCAAGAGGAGAAAAAACACAGGGGCAGCCTGTACAGTGACTGATCACTATGATAGCCAGAGACCATCACAGTAGTCAGGTGATCAGGGACTGGCCCACCTTGTTCCCAATCCTAAAGCTGAGACACAGGACTCTCAGTGAGAGCTCAGTCTCTGTGCTGGGAGCACACTGTGAAGCGTTCACTCAGCACAAACACAGGAGCACATAAATGCAGCCCACAGAAGAAGACCCACTTTCATGACACTGCATATACAGGTGCATCTCAATAAATCAGAATATCATCAAAAAGTTCCTTAATTTCAGTATTTCAATTCAAGAAGTTAAACTCGTATATTATACAAGGCTGCACAGTCACAGGGGCACCAACCTTCATAGGTCAGTTTGCCAAAAGACATCATCCTCTGTACATCGGGACCTGTGCAGCTGGTGCTATTCTGAACATGTGAGTTACCACGTCAGCAATTTTATTATGGACAGCAAGTTAGAACAAAGAGCAAACTTGAAATTCTGGGTGAAACCGGGCAAATCTGCCACAGAGATGTTTGACATGATTTGCAAGGTTACGACAATGCTGCAATGGGTTGCTTGAGGTGCTTTAAGTGGCATGCTGACTTATGAAGGTCGGTGCTCCCTGTGATGGTGCATGCAGCCTTGTACTGCCATCTGTTGACATGTTACAAAACTAGTCTCAAAACGTTTTGATACCATCCCGTAGATACCCTGCAGCCAGCAATAATAACCCCCTCCAACAACCATAGATCCTCTGCCAGTAAAAATAGATCTCCCTCTAGAAAAACAGCTCCTCCTGCAGCAAAATACCCCCAATCCACAACTGGTTCCCCCTCCAGCAACAATAGACCCCCCACAATAGATCTCCCAGCAACAATAGATCTCCCAGCATCAATAGATCCTCCAGCAAAAAACACACTCCCACTTTCTCTCCCAGCAACAACTAACCCCCCCCCAGCAACAATAGATCTCCCTGGAGACAATAGGTCCCCTAGCAGCCAGCAACAATAGACCCTCCAGCACATCCCAGCACCCGTTGTCATTACATACATTCAGTGCTGGAGGTGCTGGCGCTGCATTCCCCCGCTCTGCATTTAGCTACACAGATTTACCCCGTTGCTCCAAAGAAGGGACATAGGGATTGGGGTCTAAAGAGGCATTGTAAGAGCTATGAGACGGGGGCCGTGCTGCAACCGCCATCAGCTTAGCCTCTGTTTGATGTGCAACTGTGCCATGGTACTGCACGTGATCAGTTATGACAGCACAAGCAACTGTGACAGTTAGCATTCCCGACACACCTGAAATGTAACTGTTTTTTTAAATTGTTAAATCGATGGGTTTCTTCCCACTTTAAAACAGAGATTATGGAGGTCACATACTGAGGATTCTAGAATAAACAAAGCTCTAAGGACAATTCCAGCTATTGTCTCAGGTAGGGCTCCTTCACACATGAGGTTGGGGGGGCGGGGGTTGGTGGTAAAATCCCATAGTTGAGCCTCATTTTTACTCCTCCCTTTTTTTTGCTTCACAGCAGGAATATTGCCCCCTGTTGCTTTTGGTGGGGATAGCGCCCACTGAACATGACACATTGAAGTGAATGGGGCCAGTGTCTGCAAGCACCTTGCATCTGTGTCAGGCAAGTGCAGGGATCAAGGTGTTAAAGTGGTGAGGATAGGACGCCTCCCCACCGCCTGTCAATGTCAAATGCATTCTGAACAGTGATCTGAACAAGCATCGGTCTTCAGAGAGTGCCGCAGGTGTGAACGTGCCCTTAAGCCTGGTTCACATCTATGCGTTTTTTAAGTGCATTTTGCAGTAACACACTACAGTCCATTTAACATGGTTTCCTATGGGACTCAGGCACTTTTTGTTTTTTTTAAACGCAACATGATGCATTTTGAGTTCAATAGACTTCAATGGACATGCAGCAAAAACACATGTAGTGTGTTTTTGCTTTTTTTTTTTGCTAGTAGGAACGTATTGACTTTGATGCAACTTTGGATGGGGGTGACTTTGAGCCAACTTTTTTTTTTTCTGCTAACAGGAAAGTATGACAGTTCTGTTCATGTAGTGTGACTTTGATGCAACTTTACAATCTATGGCACTCAAGTAGCATCAAAGTTGCAGCCAAAGAGACAGCCATGTCACACCGAGCCAAAGTCGCACCCAGCCAATGTCGCATCAAAGTCGCGCCCAGCCAATGTCGTATCAAAGTCGCGCCCAGCCAAAGGCGCATCAAAGTCACGCCCAGCCAATGTCGCATCAAAGTCGCGCCCAGCCAAAGGCGCATCAAAGTCGCGCCAAGCCAAAGGCGCATCAAAGTTGCGCTCAGCCAATGTCGTATCAAAGTCGCGCCCAGCCAATGTCGCATCAAAGTCGCGCCCAGCCAATGTCGCATCAAAGTCGCGCCCAGCCAATGTCGCATCAAAGTCGCGCCCAGCCAATGTCGCATCAAAGTTGCGCCCAGCCAAAGGAGCATCAAAGTCACGCCCAGCCAAAGTCACGCCTAGCCAAAGTCACATAAAAGTCGCGCCCAGCCTATGTCACATCAAAGTCGTGCCCAGCCTATGTCACATCAAAGTTGCACCCAGCCAATGTTGCATCAAAGTCACACCTAGCCAAAGTCGCGCCTAGCCAAAGTCACATAAAAGCCGCACCCAGCCAAAGTCACATAAAAGCCGCATCTAGCCAAAGTCACATGAAAGTTGCACCCAGCCAATGTTGCATCAGAGTCGCACCCAGCCAAAGTCACACCAAAGTGGCACCCAGCCAATGTCACATCAAAGTAGCCTCAATACTTTCCTACTGGCTAAAACCCCCCCCCAAAAAAACTTCGAAAATGCATCAAAAACACGCGAAACCCGCATCGCTGGGCAACACGCAGAAGTATGACCATAGTGATGAGCTCCAACATACCAGCCCCGCAGTCGCATGTATATCACAGACATTTATATGTCCAGCTCACCCACAGATGATTGGCCCCTGCAGGTGACCACTTCCTGGGGGGCTCCCACACCTGAGTTCAGTCCCCTCCCCACACACCCCAGCCCAGGACTGGTCACTGCCAAGGACTACAGAGCAGGCTCCATTAACAATTTGGTTTGGGGACCCCTGATTCGTAGTTTGGCCCCTGACACCTGAGTGCACTGCCCCCCATCTCCACATTCTCTCCCAGGACCAGTCCCGGTCCGCCATACCCCGGGAGGAGAGCAGCTACAACCCACAGTGGAGTGGGCGGGCAGTGATTGTGCAGGGGGCGTGACCCCGGCTGTATACTACACATCGCCATGACGTTGGTTGCTACGGAAACGCATTTCGCCCTGACCTCCTTGCGCGTTCCCGTTCCATCCGGGCTCGCTACACAGCTGGAGGAGCAGAGAGGCGGCCGCAATGGCGGAGGATGCGGAGTGGGTGCTGGACAGTGTGCTGGCTTTTTTGAAGTGGCCGCTGTGGACGGGGCCGCTCACCGACTTTATAGAACAGAAATGCTCAGGTAACGGGAAGGGAGCGCGCCTCATCGCACATTTCCCACAATGCTGTGCGGCCCACAATCAATCAGTGCGGAGGACTATGGGAGAGACTGATAGGAGATCCAGAGATTTCCATCCAAAACAGTCACATTTCATATTCCTCATCCTCTGGCTTCACTGCTTGTTCAGGGTTCTGCCTCATGCACATTGGATGTTTGGACTTTGCGCCTAGACGCCTTCCTTCTGACAGCGTTTTGGCAGAAAAAAACCGCTAGACGCGTGTAAAAGTAACTGTGACGGAGGGTAGGCAGGACAGAACACACAGAGTAGATGGGAAACGCACAAAGCTTTATTGAGACAAACAGATGACAGTCACGCAATAGAGGGATTTGCGGGGAGGGTGAATTCGCTAGTAAAGGGTAGCCAGGAGGGGCCAACACACTTCTAGTCCAACCTCAAAAGCCAAGGAAGAGTCTCTGTAGCAATTGTATCCAACAGTGTGGGGGGGTCAGTACAGGAACAGTTCAGGTAAAACAGGGAGAGTGCATATACTCACGGATCCAACATGGTGCCTGGTCTCCTAGGGATAGAAAGTGGAACACAGGTACCTGTTGGAGTCCGGATCATGCGGGTGGTCTCCCCTTTTGGGCTGAGTCCTCAGGCAGCTGGCAGGTAATCTCTCCCCTGTGCTGGGGGTCTCGGGCAGCTAGCAGGTAATCTCTCCCCTGTGCTGGGGGTCTCGGGCAGCTAGCAGGTAATCTCTCCCCTGGACTGAGGGTCTCGGGCAGCTGGCAGGCAATCTCGCAATCTCTCCCCTAGACTGGGGGTCTTGGGCAGCTAGCAGGCAATCTCTCCCCTCGGGTGGGGTCTCTGACAGCTGGCAGGCAATCCCTCCCCTGGACTGGGGGTCTCGGGCTGCTAGCAGGCAATCGCTTCCCTGCGCTGGGGGTCTTAGGTAGGCGTGGGTGCGGTTCCCCCGTTTGGCTGGGGGGGTCTGCAGAGTCTGGCCACAAAGGTCCCGCTGCATCTGGGCTCCTTCAGTGGCTGGCGCAGTGGTGAACAACTGACTGAAGTGCCCGGCATCAGCTTCTTAAGCTGATGCGGGATGCTACCTGGTCATCTAGGTAACCAGGGCGGGCCAGAGCTGGCGTGCCTTGTTGCCTGGCAACGAGGCACGCCTCCTGGACAGGGGCCACTCCTATCGTGAGTGCGGCCTTTGTCCAGGGACATTCGCAAGCGCGGGAACTTCCCGTGCCCGCGCTGCAGATGACAGGGCTGAGGTGGTGTCAGCGAGACGCCATAGCCCGTAACATCCTGGTGGGAGGCTCACTCCTGTCCGCGGAGAGGTGTGAGTCTCGCCACCTTCTCCTCTCTGGCCGCAACCGGGGAGGGAGAAGATAGTGGCAGGGGTGGTGAAAGCTGCACCTCTCATCCCACGTTAGCAGGATGAGAGGTGGAGGGGGAGTCACTGGACCACAGAGAGGAATCCGGCTGGAGACAGGGGACACAGTGAGGGGGCCAGGATGACACTGGACCCCCCCCCCCCCCCCCCCCCCGGGACATCAGAGGGACTGGTGCAGGGAATGATTTAGGGCAGTTGAGGACATGCAGCCAGCTGGCCGGGAGGGGGGAAGCCACAGTATTGGAATTTGGACATTTGGCAGAGTGACACGGAGGACATTCAGGGATTGAATCTGAGGGACAGAGAATTAATAAGGGGATTAAATGAAAATAATGGGGAGGGGTCATTGAAATGAATCGATGCTCTAGTAGTGTTAACGCGTGTTTACACCCCGGACACACCGATCCCGACTTTGAAATCATGTGACTTACAGTGAAGTCGTACAAATTGGAAGTTGCATGACATGCCCATATGAGGTGCAATTTGCAAGACATCTGACACAGATGTCTATGCAAATCGCACCAAAAGTAGTGCATGTACTACTTTAGAAATCGATGCGGCTCAGACCAAGTTGGAACCGCACCGATATGACTGCTGTAATTGCGGACAATAGGGTGTGACTTCCCATGAAAATCGAATGCCAAGTTGCACCCAGTGTGGGCGGGCACTTAGTCGCATAAATCGTTTGTTCTGATTGCAGTTTTTCTTTCTTCTTCCTGTAAATGCCTGTGTGTGAACGGACACATTGACTAACATGTAGAGGTGTTTAGAGGCAGAAAAAAAGCGTCCAGCTTGTACAAAGACTTAGGCCTGGTTCACACCTATGTGTTTTTTTTTTTTTTTGTTTTTTGGTGCTTTTTGCAAAAACACATTACAGTTCATTTAACATGGTTTCCTGTGGGACACATTCACATCTATGCTTTTTTCAGCCTCTGCGTTTTTGGAAAGGGTCAGGGACTTTTTTTTAAATGCAAAACGGTGAGCTTTTGGTTCAATAGACTTCAATGGAGATGCTGCAGAAAAGCATACAGTGCATTTTTTTTTATACGTTATATTTTTATCTGCCCAACAACAAGTTGGCCAAAAGTTTTTTAAAAAGCGTCAAAAACGCACTGCAGAAATGGGTCAAAAGCAAACTGCCTAGATGTGAGCCAGGCCTTAGGCATGGTTTCATGTCTATGCAGTTGCCCCATGGCCGTGTTTGCTCCCACACAGCAGCCCATTCATTTAAAGTGATTCTAAAGGCTTTTTTTTTCTTTTTTAAATATTTATTTATTTCAAGTACTTATATAGCACCATCAATTTACGCAGCACTTTACACATATTTTTTGTACATTCACATCAGTCCCTAACCCTCAAGGGGTGTACAATCTAAAGTCCCTAACTTACATTCATACATACACATACTAGGGCCAATTTAGACAGGAGCCAATAAACCTACCAGCATGTCTTTGGAGTGTTGGAGGAAACCGGAGTACCCGGAGGAAACCCACACAGTCACAGGGAGAACATGCAAACTCCAGATATAAGAAACATGTTATACTTTCCTGCTGTGTGATTTGCAGAGAGCAGCCCGGATCCTCCTTGGGTCCCCCGCTGGCGCTCCTGGCCCCTCCCTCCTGTCGGGTGTCCGCTATGGGGGAACCTGCTCTTCCTTGTGTCCATTCACACATGGAGCTGTGGCTTGTCCCCACCCACTCTCTCTTCTCATTGGCTCACTGGCTGTGATTGACAGCAGTGGCTCCAACTTCTGTCTCAGTCAATGAGGAGAGGGAGTCCCGGGATAGTCAAGACTCCAGTGCACATTGCTGGATTGAGAGGGGGCTTAGGTGAGTATTAGGGGGAGGCTGAAGGGGATGCTGCGCAGGGAAGGTTTTTTACCTTCTTGCATAGAATGCATGATGGTAAAAAAACCTTGAGTCTTTACAACCACTTTAAATGGGCTTCTCTGCCCACTGAAAACACAGGAAAAAGGTCCCCACACCTTTTCAGAAAATGCGGCCACAGAGAAACCACATAGTGCAGTTTCAAGTGTGTGGGGGTATCATTAGGATTAATAGTACCGCCACACATCTGAGTTTTTCTCTGCAGGTAGGTAGGTGTGTGAACCTAGGTTTAGGCCTCTTGTACTTGGATGCCTAAATACAGCACATTTTAAGACATTCAGGTAATTTTATTCAAGTGATCTAAAGGCAGCGCATTGTTTTCAATGTGCCTGTACACACAGGCACATAAATGTGTTGCGGATTGATCAGTAAAAAGAAAAAAAAAAATACAGAACTCTGAGTTGCTGGGAATATTTTTGTGTGTATACTCACAAATATGCACAAATGCCATGCTTGCTGCTTGTGTGTGCAAATTCGCAAATACACGCAAGTGGTATATAGCCCATCCTCGTGTTTCTTTCAGCCAGCAATGTCTGAAGCTCATACATCAATAGTTTGCAGGAGGCCTAATAGGCCTGTACACACTGGTGCGTAAACTTGTGCTGCATATAGATCAATATACAAAAGTCTGCATTTCTGGACAGTATTTTACACACAGATATGCGCACATGCATGTGTATAACACAATCCAAGAAAAGGTAGAAGAATTTTTATGTACATGCCTTAAAAAATGCACAGCTTTGGCATTTGTTATACAGCCCATCGTCACGTTTGCAGGCAACATTCACATAGGCATAAAGATTTTACTTATCTTTTAAATGTTTGTTTTTTCTAGCTCAGTTATCTCCAAATGGCAGCCTAGGGGTTGGATGTGGCCCTTTGCTTGCCTTTATCTGGCCTTTGGGACACACTTCCTCCCACTGATAGGAGATACTATTGTGCCCACTGACACCAAAAAGGGCATAATTCCTGCCACCGATTCTTCCCACTGACACCAATGATGGGGTACTATTCCTCCCGCATAATACCGACGATGAGACACTGTTTACTCCCACTGATGCCAGAACAATTTGTGCTCCCACTGGCCACAGTCTGGCCGCCCAAAAGTCTCAAGGACAGTAAGCTGGCCCCTGTTTGGAGACCCCTGTTGTAGCACAAAAACCTTCCAGCGTACTTATCAGTAAATACCTGAGTAAAATTGTTCTTTTTCTTTTTTTACCAATATCTGCATTAATCATACGTGTAAACGTATGTCCCCAGACGCAGAAGTTTGGATTCTGTGTAGTAATGCACCAAAATGAAAATTCTGGTGCTAAAAACGAAAATTCAAAATGAACTTGGCCGAAAACCAAACAATTTTTAAAAATTAATATATATTTATTGGAAAAAAATACACTTTGATTAAAAAAAACAAATCCAATTTTTTGTAAAATATGAAAGAGGATTTTACGGCGAGTAACTAGATACCCAGTAAAATTGTGCACGCTCATGGAATAGCGTGAAACTGCGGTACTTAAAAATCTCCATAGGTGATGCTTTAAAAAATTCTACAGGTTAGCAGTGTAAAGTTAGAGGAGGTCCAGTGCGAGAATTATTGCTTTTGCTCCAGCGTTCGTGGCGATACCTCACGTGTGTGGTTTGAACACCATTTACATATGTGTGCATGGCCTGTGTATGCATTCACCACTACGTGCAAACATGGGGGGGATGGGGGCACTTTAAACTTTTTTTTTTT